CCTGCTGGCAAGTGGACATCCCCCGAGGGCTGCCAGGCTGCCAGAGGGATACCCGATTGCCATCTTAGGCCCAATCCCCCGGGGAGCGGGCCTAAGCCAGCAGGTCGTTATCTCCCAAGGGGTCCCAGACTGCGCGAGGGCACAGGCTGGGCTGAGGTACCCCCCCCCCCACGAGGGCACAAATTTTTGTGCACCGGGCCTCTAGTATAATAATAGAGGGATATGCTAATTAGCCCGGACACCTTAGCAGTCAGGACTGGTCAGGCGCTCCACTGCCTGGGAGCGGCTGATGGAAATGGCCACTGGTGGGGGCGCTGCCCAGCCCTGAGGCCACCTGGCCAGGCTTGTGAACAGGCAAGCCATGCCACCTGGCCTGGGAGTGGCCCCCTGGCAGCAGTCGCCATCTGTGGAGGTGTGAGCAGGCAGGCTGTACCCAGCCAGAGGCCACCGGCTGAAAGAATCACTGGAGACTTTGGTTAAATTCAATAGTTAAAATCACTATGCTCTGTGAGAGCTGACATTCTCAAACACTCAGGACCCTCAATCACACAAATTAATAGGAAACAATTGCATAATGCTTTGACCTAATTGTACACACTTTAATATCGTTTATAAATTAGTCTACATCCTTCAAGTAAATTCAGCAGCTGACTAAAGAGAGCCTGCACTGAGGAGGCCCTGCTATCTTGAGTTTGTGGTTTCCAAGGAAACAGCCAGAAGGGATATAAACCCTCAGCTTATGCCTATCTAAGCAGCTGCAAGGGGAAGCTTGATTTAAATCGAGCCTTTCCAGCAGTACCTGACCCCAACCTTCCCTGGATCAGGCAGGTTCCTGTGGAGTGCAATCTCCACGCAATACAAGCAATACAACGGGGGCCCCAGTTTCGTCCCTGATGATCTCATACGCGCATTAGCTCAGGGCAGCCGGGAAGGAAGGAAAAAGGCATCACAGGGGCAGGTCGGGTGAGCAAGCAGAAGGAAACCATGTCTGGCGGACACTCCCCTGCCACCCCCTTCAACGTGTAAGAAGAATCAAATAAACCAATACAAACAACCCCCCTCTCCTCCACTCCCCGCCCCCCCCCACCTGCCCCAAAGAGATCCAGGACTGTGGGGCATCCAGCCCAGGCATTGCGTACCTGCTTCCCACCCACTTTATCCAAATGGACAGGTTAGTGGGTTAAAGGGAGGAGGATGAGCCTCCCAGGAAGGGGATTCCCTGGAACCACACCCCTGCACTCCCTCTGGACCTGACCTCTGGGAGCCCAGAGCCTGACCCCGCCCCCAGCAGATTTGCATATCCCAGACCCTCTGATACTTCCAGGCACTGGGCATTCCCATATCTTCCCTGCCTCCCAGCCACTGACCCTCACTGTCTCCTACCCCAGGAACACTCTGTTCTCCCCAACTTTTGGTCTTTATAGTCTAAATGCAAGGTGGGTTTAGTTGCTTCTCCATGGATTTTATTTGATAAGAACCCAGCAAAGTCGCTTAGCAACTGAGCTGCTCAGACTTCATCAGGGACAACAAATGACACACCTTACTTGGCTTTGATAGCAAAGCAATTTTATTCTTTTATTTTTTTAAATAGATTTTTATTGATTTCAGAGAGGAAGGAAGAGGGATTGGTTGTCAGAGAGAGGGAGAAGGCGAGAGATAGAAACATCAGTGATGAGAGGGAATCATTGGTCAGCTGCCTCCTGCACACGCCCTACTGGGGATCGAGCCCGCAACCCAGGCATGTGCCCTCGACCAGAATCAAACCTAGGACCCTTCAATCCACAGGTTGAAGCTCTAGCCACTGAGCAAAACCAGCTAGGACAAGCAATCCTATTCTTAAAGACTTGATTTTTGCCATAAGCAAGTGGATTTGAATCATATTAAACTAATATACATTTTTTAATGAAATGTGTCTTCATTTCTACTAATGCTATTCTAGCTTAAAACTTATGTTGTATAATCTATAGTAATAAAAGGGAATATGGTAATTAGACCAGACGTCTTCCAGACATCCATCCGGATGTCCTTCCGCACAAAGCCACAGTGTTGGGGGCCAAGGCAGCAGCCGTTAGGGGCGACCAGGCCGGCAGGCAGGTGAGCAGTTACGAGTCAGCAGTCCCAGATTGCAAGAGTGATGCCCAACTGCCCACAATCAAACATCCCCTGAGGGATCTTGGATTGGAGAGGGTGCAGCCGGGCTGAGGAACCCCCCTCCCTACCATGCATGAATTTTGTGCATCGGGCCTCTAATAGTATTATATCAGTAGACAGAAAATATACAGTTTCTTTACATTTTAGGTAGTTCTTTTAAAAATGTTTTAATCAATTGAAGACTATGGAAGGCTTTAATAAATATACTCATACAAGAATATTTTAAAATAAAAACAGTGCATGATGGTAGTTATGTTCTAAATTTAACATCTGAATGTGATACTGAAGACTGAAGTTTCCTTTTAGTCTAATAGAAAAAGTACTTGATATACTGAATCTCTGTTTATTGTAAACCTCAATCCTCTTCAAAATGCAAGTTTGACCCTTTTCAGGAACACAGAAATTCTCTTTTAGAACCTGGTTTTTGTTAGAAATCTCAACTTTTAACAATATTTTGGGAATGCTAGAAATTTCAAATTTAATAGGTTCTGTCTCAACCACTACTTGATTTTGAAAATAAGACGGAATAGGAGAAATTGTGTGTGCATGTATCATAAAATTCCCTCATGATTGGGAAAAAGGGGGTTGACTTTTGAAAGTTTATGAACTGAAGGGCAAAAAGAAGTTAGAAGATAGTAGGCACTGTTTACATACTGAAAGCACCAATTCAATCAGAAAAGCTTTGGATTCTCTGGTAGTATCTAAGTTATTGCTGGATATACACAGTGGGATAACAAATAATACAATTGTTGCTTAATTTAATCTTGTTGAGCATTAACATTTATGATCAGATCTTACAACTTTGATGACTTTAAAATTAGAAAAAACTGTAATGAAGTCATAAATTGCATACTTAGTGTATAAAATGAGTACTCACTTTGTTATATAAATAAAATATTAAAGACTAAAGTCCCTAAGCTTTATTTTTAATGCAGAAAATTAAAGATAACCATTGTGATATTTATGAGGTAACATATTATTTGAAAACCAAATAAGCTTACTACATAAAGAACATAAGATAAATATCTTATAAAAATAGATGGCATATTTGATTAAATAAAATTACTACAGCATTCTCATCATTCATCTATCACATTTTACTTTCTAATTGACTTATTTTTTTTAATATCTTCTTTCTAATTTGATTACCTAAACTTGCTGCAATTTCTTCATCTTGGCTGTTCTAGATTCTGGTATGATATCACTTCCTTTCACTTTAGACTATTTCTCTCTCTTTCTCCTGCCTGCTGCTGATGCTGGTGTTCTGGCATGTTCCAAAGACAACTTTTGCATGCGTGGCCTGTCTAACTTTTATCCTGATTTAACGAAACGGATCCGTACTTCCTATCGGAGTAAGTTCTATTACAGTTAGGCAAATAGCATTTTAAGTCATAATGCTTGCATTAAATCCGTACATCTGTGCTCAGTAATGTGTTTTTAAAAACACATTCAGCATGCATGCAAATTTTTGTTTTGTTATGGAAGTGCAGCCTGATTATTTTAATAAAAATTATTTAAAAATTTCAAATAGTTATTGTCATCACCCAATTACTCATATCCATTGTTTTAATGTTTATTTCAAACCATGCAGACCACATCCTATTTGTCCAAGAGTCACTTGTCTTTTGTTTTGAGCCATGGTGTTTTTATCAATAAAAAAACCTGATATACCAGTATCAATAATAATTGAATACTTTCTTATTTTAGAAACCTTGTGCCTTTGACCATTTTATAAAATTATTCTAACCAAGGCCACAGTATTTCCTTTTTGTAAGTAATTAGATTTCTTAGAGATAGCTATGTATTCCTAATTTCTGATGGTTTAAAATAGAATACACAAACATTTCTATAGTGATTCATGTACCAAACACTGAAATTGGTGAGTTAAGATCACAAATAAAAGAGTCAGTACTATTATTTACCATGGTAACAAATGCAGATCTGAAGATGGTAGAGTAAGCAATTCTAAAAATTGATACAGAAAAGGAGGGGAGTGGGGGTATGCTTAGAGGTGCAAATGATACTAGTGATGTTAAAGGTGAATATTTATTGACATAAGATGTTTATGATAGTAAATCAATGTTATGTTTAATAGCATGTTCCTTAGCAATATATAAAAGATGGCTTCATTTGTATAAAATGTAAAGACACATGTATGTTGTTTGTATTTTTAATTTCTTCAGACCTCACCAGCTTGTAGATATTAATGAAATCACATCACTTATAAAAACTAAACCTTTGTTGTTTCTCTAGCTAGAGGAAGTCTGTCTCTGTGAAGTCCTTGAAATTTTTCTGGAAGCAAATTATTTTTGCTAATAATTATTTTCTAGTTTTCTACTCTAGCAGAGACTTTTAGAACTTTTTTTGGTTGATGTTTGTAAAAGAACTTCTATAAATATTAGACGTTGTCACTATAATAGAAAATGAACCAAGCCACAAAGAAGTTAAATATATGAAGATTTTGAAAAGTCTCAGGCCTGTATATATTTTCCTTCTTTTACTGAATGGTTTTTTTCAGTGTGTGGGAAATGATAAAGAGATAATAATAAAAAAGAAGGAATTACCTCAAGGAAGAACCAATAGAAATGGTAACTTAAAAATTTTATTCATTCTGTAGATACACTGTAATAATTGAAAAAGAGGTAGCAGTGCTATGAAAGAGGAAAATGAGTGTCAGGGAAGGAAGGCCTATCTGAGGGTGAAATATGTAAGTCAGCGATGGTGAACCTATGACACGCGTGTCAGAGGTGACATGCAAACTCATTTTTTTTGTTGATTTTTCTTTGTTAAATGGCATTTAAATATATAAAATAAATATCAAAAATATGTCTTTGTTTTACTATGGTTGCAAATATCAAAAGATTTCTGACATGGCACCAGAGTTAAGTTAGGGTTTTTCAAAATGCTGACATGCCAAGCTCAAAAGGTTTGCCATCACTGGTCTAAGTGATATTCTAAGAAATAAGAAGGTTTGGATTTCCACTTCAGACCAAGATAGAATACCAGGGAACAGATTTAATCTAGTGCCTGAAACAAACAAACAAACCAGACCTAACAAAACTTTTTTGTTGATGTTTTTAAGACATAGGACCGCTTGCAATGAAAAACAGTAATCTCTAACAGATTAATAAAAATGAAGCCTGCAACCACACCTGATAACTGCCCTAAGAGAGTTTCTAGATTATAGCAGAGGGAGGAGATCCAGGATAAAAGCAGTGAACTCCCTGAATTGAAGAGATGGGGATGAAAAAAACAGGAAAACCGAAGCAGCTACAGTTCACAAGGAGGGTATTTCAGAGATCTACAGTTTCCTCCTCAAACAAAATATAGATTAACAGGTACATATGATGGAACTAACCAGGGACAGGTAAAGACCTGTCAACAAATATGAGGAAATAGTGTTCAACACTGAAACAAAGGTAACAGTGCCTATTCCTACCAGCCAGACTAGAAAAAATTATAATTCACATCCACTTCTAGTTAACATTATACTGTAGATTCTAGCCAATGTAGTCAGACAAGAAAATATATGAGTTATCTTAATAAATAAAAGATTGGAAAAGAAGTTAAAGTCTTTTTTCATAGACAACATAATCTATGAAGAAAATGTAATGAAGGATACAAAAAAAGCTATTAGGACTAATAAGTGAGTTTAAGCAAATCATTTAATAAGCAGATAAGTGAGTTTATAACAAAATTTAAGGTCAGTAAATGAAAATCAATTTTATTTCATTCTACCCACAACAACAGTCTGATATTTAAAATTTTAAATACCATTTATAATGGCATCAAAATAGAAAACACTTTGTCATAAATTAGGCAACAGATGTGAAAGACCCATCCATACATTGAAAACCAGAAAGCATTGCTGAGAAATGTTTAAAAAGACCTAAAAAAATGAAGAATGCCATGTTTACAGTTCAAAGACTTAATAGTACTAAGATGACAATTCTCTCCTAATTGATCTGTATGCCAATACACTCCCAATAAAAAGGTTCAGACTTTTAATAGAAATTGAAAAACTGATTCTAAAGTCCATACAGAAATGTGAGGGATTCAGAATAGCTAAGACAGTTTTTAAAAAAGAACAGTGTTGGGACATGGGGCCAAGATAGTGGTGAAGGAGGACCTGAGCTCACCCCCTGCTAAGAACCATTGGATATTTGGAGCAATTTCTCCTGAGAGTAAACGGAGGGCCAATTGAACAGCTACTATACAACAAACAAGAGACCACATAAAGAAGGCTGGGAAACCATGAATGGTCTCTGGGAGCTAAGGGGACTCTCCAAGACCATAGGAACCAATAACACCATTATTTACATTTTCTCTGCATGTGGACAGCGGGCAGGAGCTCCATCCAGATTCCTGGGCTGATTTGCAGGGCTGCTGTAGTGCATCTCCAGCAACCACTCCTGGACTATTTCCAGCAGGAAAAGGAGGGTATTATAGTGCACACACATGGAGCCCTTCACTCTGAGATTGACCTAGCAGGTGTGGCAGGGGGCTGCTTTGTGCATCCACTGGGATGTGCACCCAAGATTCTTTCACCCGGAGACAGTGTGAAACTAGCAAAGTGCTCTAGTGCCCTCATGCATGTAGGCTTTCCCCAAGAGAAGATGCAGAACTAGTAAAGTGCTATGGTACATATACATAGGGCTGCCCAGTCAAGAGTAAATATGGAACTAGAGGAGTGCTTCTGTGAGTGAATGCAGGGCTGCCCCACCTGGAGATAATATGGAACGCGTGTAGCACTACTACACAAGCACATTGGACTGTCCTGCCTGGAGAAAGTGCAGAATCAGCAAAGTGCTAAGGTACATGCAGACAGGGCTACCCCACCAGTCCAAACTTGTGTAACAGACAATTAAAACACTAGTGCATGCTGCACACACACCAGTCAATACAACCAAGATCAGAAGAGCAAGGAACCATGCACATGTCAGGCTGCCCTACCCAGAGTTCTTTCTGGCTATAGGCAGCCAGAACAATGAGGAGTTACTACACACATGTGTACACCAGACCGCTCCACAGGAAGCTACCCCTTCTGGCCAGGTGGCACACCAGTCACCACACACACTGCCTTGACGACTAAAATCATCGGGTGCACAGTCTATACAGAGGCCACTTTTTCAAGATTGATAGAGATAGCTATTTCATCCAAATCAAAGGAACAAACAGGAAGTCAAAAAATGGGAAGACTGAAGAATATGACACAAATGAAGGAATAAGAAAAAATCCTGGAGAAAAAACCTAATGAAACAGAGATAACTGATTTACCTGATAAAGAATTCAAAGAACTCCCCATAAGGAATGCTCAACAAAATTGAAAATAGAAGGACTCAGGACTTCAAAAAAGAGAAAAATATAATAACCAGAGTGGAATAATACAATAGCTGAAATGAAAACTACATTAGAAGGAATCAAAAGCCAAGTATCCTATATAATAAAAGCCTGATATGCAAATTGACCGAACAGTGTAACAACCAGTCACTATGATGCGCACTGACCACCAGGAGGCAAATGCTCAATGCAGGAGCTGCCCCCAGCCTGCAGGCTCTGACCAGCGGTGCTGGTGGGGGGCAGGGATGGTGAGCAGGCAGCATCAGGCCATCCAAGGCAGGTGCTAGTGGGGGCCCCCAATCGTTCTGTTGATTGCCCCACAGAGGGAGGCAACTGGCGGCGATGGTGGGGGAAAGGGCCGGCGAGTGGGCAGCACCAGGCCAGCCAAAGTGGGTGCCAGTGGGGCCCACCGATCACCCTGTAGAGGGAGGCAACTGGCAGCAGTGGTGGGGGGCAGGGCTGGCAAGCAGGCAGTGCCAGGCCAGCCAATGCAGGTGCTAGCAGGGGCCCCCCAATCACCCTGCCGGCCGCCCCACAGAGGGAGGGAGGGCTGGCGAGGGGGCAACACTAGGCTAGCCAGTGTGGATGCCAGCGGGGGGCCTCCCGATCACCCCACTGGGCACCCCTGATCGCTGGCCAGCCTAAGGACCCTACCTGTGCATGAATTTCATGCACTGGGCCTCTAGTTAATACAAAAGAATGGATTAGCAACCTGGAAGACAATTTATTTATTAGTATAAGACAACAATTTATTATCTTTTAGCATTCTGTAAGTTGATTGGGATCAACTGGATAGTTCTTTTTTAAACAAATATATTTTTAAAATTGATTTCAGGAAGAGGGAGAAAGAGAGAATTATCAATCAGCTGCCTCCTGTATGCCCCCTATTGGGGATCAAGTCTGCAACCCAGGTATGAGTCCTGATCAGGAATTGAACCAGTGACCTCCTGGTGCATGGGAAAATGCTCAACCAACTGAGGCACACCAGCTGAGCTGGGTGGTTCTTTTCTAT